ATTATTTTTAGATAAATAATATATTTAAAGAAAACTAAACGTTTTATTACAGATGAATTGAATTTAGGTTGGTTGTTTTATTAAATGTCATTATTGTTTGTTGCTGGATAAAAAAAACATATAGGCCCAATGTATTTGGAACAATGTAAGGCCCATGTATTTGGAAAAAACGGGTACTGTGCAGATTATCCCAAAGTTTACCCACATTTTTACCAATCAACAATCACTGTGCAAATTTAAAATGAAACCGATTCCAACCTCCATTATAAAAATCTAGAAATAACAAATCCAATTCTTTACATTTAAAACAAAAAAAAGGCTAAGTCAAGCCTATTACACTCCCAACTAAATCAATCTCAGAATCAATTAACACTAAAATCTAATCTTAAACCAAATCTTAAGTTGCAAGAATGGAATTAAATATTCAAGGACGTTCGAGCATGACAAAAGAATATAAAAATAACGTTACAGAAAACTAATATAGAATCTACAAAAGCAATCTCAGAAATTAAAGACAGCAAAGTCCAACAAATCCATAGCAATTACTTTCAGAACCAAGTATAGCACAAAATCTTCTAATCAAATCTCATAATATACAGATCGTTACAGAATCATGCATCATTACAAACTCATAGAATCTAACCAATTACAATAGTTTTAAAATCCTAAATCTAAGGCTAATCGTAACTGAAAAGAGAAAAAACCCTAAAATACTAAGTTATTTAAGGGCAAGATTTGGACAGAACAGAGGAGGCTGGCTAACAGAGGGGGGGGGGGGGGGGGACTGGCCAACAGAAAGACGAAGATGAAAGAACATAGGGGCGGATCCTTTGACAAAGAACGAAGAAAGATCACTGAGACGAGGAAGAAAGTTTTACCGTTGAAAACAAGAAGAGGAAGCGATTAGAGTTTCCGGATCGGAAACCCTAATCGTTTGTCGTTGCCCGTCGCGAGTCATCGCCAAGCTCTATCACTCCGTTACCATCACCTCAAACTTGTCGTCACCATCCCCGCTGACAACCCATGAAACAACAACCACTGCCATCTCAAGCCGTTCAACTTTGGTTTGCTTCTTGTTTTCTTTGCTTGCTTTTGATGTTGTTTTGTGAATCACAGAAGAAGAAGGAAGGGAATTGAGAGAATTCAGGGTTCGTGAGGTTTTGGATAGGGGAAGAGAGAAGGGTTTTCTGCGTGAGGAAGAAAGGGGAACATGGCGTGAAAGAGAATAAATTATGTAGAATGAAATGAAAAAAAACAAGTTATGTTGTCCGTCTAATCCTGTACACGCGTGACTACCATAATTATTATGCACCCTTTAATCATGTATGTATGATCTTGATTGGACGGCCATAAGACCAAGCCTACCATAAACTCCGTGCGCCATCACACACCCAATGAACCGGACCCCCTATCCACTTTGTAATGGGCCTAAGCCCAGCTGCTATGCGCACCCCCTGTCTAATTGTTTACTAAGTTGTCCAAACAACATACCCCCCCTGTCCAGAATGGATAATGGGCCTAGCCCAACTTACTATTGTCACCCCCTGTTTTTACTTCATAACTGAGATTACACCCCCTCCAGGTTTGCTTAAATAATAATAATTTTTATTTTTTTATATTATATTTTATTTATATTATATTTTATTAATTATTTACTCCTTTTTTATTAATAATTATAATTATTACTATTAATTCTTATTACCATATTTTAAATATTAATTATTATTTATTATATGTAAGTATTACTATATGATCAAGTAAATTATTTTCATATAAAAATTGCATATATTATTTTCTATACTATTTGCATTAAATCTTTTTTATCATGCATTAATCAAGATTTTCGCAATTAATATTATTAAAAAACACAAACCAATCTCAAACTATTTTCGCGAATAAAATTAAGATAATCAACAGTCTTTTTTGCAAATAGGTTTCAGAATAATTTTGACTTACTGCGTACTCAGTCAAAATCTCCGCAATCACTACTCCCGACCGAGTGCGAAGTGATTCAAAATATGCTTGTAAACCCCTAAAAAAACACACCAACCCATACGAACTACGAATTGGAACTCTGATTCCTCATAAGAGGATACGTAGGCACGCGATCTAAAATCGTGGCGAGTCTTGCTAATTAAAACTTAAAACCGTGTTTATCCCAAACCTAAACCTAGAGCTTAATATTCTTATAAACAAGGTGGATGAAAGGTGCCTAACACCTTCCTTTCGTCTAATTGAGTCTGAAACCTAGAATCTTTGTCCGTGAATTAGGGTTTTATGTTAGATTCCCTTCCCTAGGATAAAACTAATAGTGGCGACTCTTGATTAAAAAACCAGTTGCTACATGGTCTCCATGATTTCTCTCGATAACGGGCCACAAGGCTCATCATCGCCGCTTCTATCAGGAGATGATGATAGGGAACGGTGATCCCTTCCCTGTCGGGGCTGTTGTTCCGGCGGGGAAAGGTGCTCCTTTTTGGCTCGAGTGACAGCGAGTAGTCGCGATCAAGCCGGTTACTCTTTGTCTTCTTGGAGATCGGGGAACATTGATCTTTACGAGGAGGTGCACAACCTCGTTTCTTGATGAAAGAAACTTCTTGTTTCTCCCGCACGGGGAGACGACCACGCCTCGGTGGACATGGAATGTAGGAGTCTAAACGCCGGTGTCTCCGAGGAGGAAACTTTGACTGCTTATTCTTAAAGGCCCAAATCCTCTTGCTCGGCTACAAGATTAGGGCGTTGGTTTGATTGAGGGCAGCGAGCAGCGCTGCCATGACCGGTCGACATTTGGTGGAATATGAATTGGCTGGAGGATTTCTGGCACCTCACTGGGGTTCTTGGACCTCTGATCGTCCGGGAACTAGAGGTTGTCGCATTCAAGGTCAACCGAATCTGGAGATGCTGTTCGGCCATCCATGACGTCGGGGATATCCTCAAGACGAGGATGCTCCTGGATTTCATCTATCTTACAGACGGGAGAGAGTACAATCTTTCCAGAAAGATGGTAGTTATCATGGTCGACCATGATAAGGATGGTGAAAGTATCTTTGATATTCAGTTTTGAGGAAAAGGAAGACGAGAAAGATACTTTCCTACACACAGCGCCACTGATCTTACCGATTGATCAGAACCTGAAAATGGGCTGAAGGATGATGACGTCTTCTTGGCTAGAAATTTGAGGAGATGAAGGGGGTGTATTTGCAAGGCACTCCGATGCTAAGTCAGTAGGAGCACAAAGAGATACAAGAAAGAGATTAAGGTTTTTTAGAATGAGTATTCGATACATGGCCCTCACAAGTGTGAGGATTTATATAATGCTCCTGACGCGTAGCCATTGGTTCCTATTTTTGGGCCTAAATATTTGGGTCCACAAAAATAGGTAACTGCTAAGACTTGGTCAAAACAGACAGTAGTGCCCGTAACTAGCTGTTGTTTCGAGCAAGAGTGGGATGACATACAAATGCGTCTCGAGCACCTTCCTGGTTGTCTACTCGATGAGTAACGAGCAAACTTGGAATCGGTCATTGATGCGGACGGGCGCACAATCAGGGCATCGTAATCTTTGACATTCCCATGGTGTGGTCGACCAAGTGTGCTTGACAGGGGATCAAAGTTAGTGGGCTAAATTTGTTTGGGCCATACGAGGTAGAAGTAGATTGAGCCAATTCTAGTCATTGGGTCAGTCCAGAATATTCCCCAAACAACAAGGTCTTCTTTAAAGCTTTGATTAGTTTGAGAGAAATTAAGGAGATAGATAGGGAAGAGAGAAAAAGAAGATAAGTTGAAGATTTCTTCTGTTTGGCAAGCAGAGAAAGTGAGAAGAGAGAAGAATAAATGGTGGGACCCACACCTTTTTGCTTTCTCTCCCAAAATGAGAAGAAATAACAAATATGAGCGTAGTCTTTTATGCCATTGGTTTTTACAAAATATAAGTTACTTCATTTCTTTAATTATAAAAAAATTAGTCATACATCGATTTTAAAAAATTGGGCTTTGGGTTGATAAATTTTTCATTAATAATATATTTTTTATTGGGATATAATAAATAATAAATCAACTAAAACAAATTTATTTAGAAATAAATTAAAATAAATTATTAATTTGATTAACTATAAATTATAAGTTGATTTTTACTCAAGGATAATTTGGTCTTTTTAAAAAGTAATAACATCTCTTTCTCTTGTATATTTCTTTTTATTCTCTTATACCAAACAATACACCAAATCTATTCTATTTCTCATCTCTCTTTCACTCACCTCTTACTTTTTTTCTCACCTCATTCTCTCTACTCAACTTCTTCTCTCCACCAAACATACCCTAAGTCTCCCATCCTTTTATATTTTCTTTACCAAAATAAATACACCCTCTTCTAATAATGTCTTATTTAAATTCTCAAAACAATGATCATAATTACTAAGATAATGATTTGCTCAACCTCACCCATCCATTGACTGATGCGTCTCTCGTTCAAGAGAGACTTATTTATAACATTTAGTCCCGATTCAATCCCACAATCCATTTGTAAGTGACTCGTTTAAAGCTAAAACAAAACTCTATTGCACCAAAAATTTCTACACAACTATCAATTAAACGCAAAAATATTGTAATATCTATGCAAAAATAAATAAAAAAGGAATTAAGAAAGTTGACCTCATCATCTTATACAAAAAAAAGAGTTGGGCTAATCGGTGAAGAGAGAATAGAAAAACGAGGGTCCGAATAGCTCCTGGGGTTTTACACGGTTTTGAAAATAGTGAAAATTGAACATCATTCCACACGTAACTCATACATAATTGGAGACACGATCGATCTGCAATTCGAAGAAGCAGATCCAAGGTATGAACCTATTATCCCTATTTGGATTTTCACAATCTTCGAAGGAACTTTCGTGTTCACTCTTCTGAGCATCACTGATGATGAATTACAATTTGTTATGTTTGCACTTTGACTGTTGCTTGCAGGATATGACTCTTTGAGAATTAGATGCTTAGAATTCGACAATGAAGCGTTATGTTTACATCGATGACGACGAGTCATCACATGATCTTTACTGTGATAATCGAATATCAAATAGAAAATATACTTTATTGAACTTTCTTCCAAAAAATTTATGGGAACAATTCAGGTAAGCTTTCTTTTCATGCTGCTTATTAGTTATTACATTGCTTTGATGGGAAATATGTGTGTCAAATTTCTAATGAAATATAAATATTCTTTATTTCAGTCGGTTCATGAATCAGTACTTTTTGCTGATAACTTACCTGCTGTTATGGCCTCTCATTACTCCAGTAAATCCTGCCAGCAAATGGGGTCCACTTATCTTTATTTTTGCAGTCTCCGCATCAAAAGAGGCTTGGGATGATTACAATAGATATCTTTCAGACAAAAAGGCTAATCAGAAGGAAGTATGGGTTGTTAGATAAGGCATCATAAGACTTTGAGCGCGGGTTCGTACCCACTTGAGGTAAGGCTCAAGAGGGATGAAATTCTTGTGTCCCAAAGTCTTGCTATCCACCTTGTTTAGCATCCTCTAAGCTCAGATGAATCTCTGGAGAAGACCTTGATTGTCGTTGTTGTAGTCGAATATTAAGCCTTGAATCAGTATCTCATGCGGGCCATCCCTTCGGGCATAACCAAACTGTCTTAGAGATAAGCATGGGTTGTAGGTGATGCCTCCCCTAATGCCAAGTAGAGGCACATTAGGGAATTCCCCACAACGGTTAACAATGATAACATTCTCTTTGGATCGGGAACACCAATGAATATCTGAATGTTTGAGCGTCATTAACCTTTGTGACCACCTTAATCCTTGCTCATTCTTTAAGACTAATTGGGGAAGATGAGAAATAAACCATCTTGCCAGGAGAGGAGTGTAACACATAAGGACACCTCTTTTCCTCATTGTGCGAGTGTGAAAAGAGTGTAGGATATCCCCTAGCAATGTAGGCCCCAAATTGCGTGACATGAAGATTTTGACGGTGCTCATATCTATGAGTTGGTCAGGATTGGGAAACAAAACCATCCCATAGATGAGGAGAGCCACAATTTCCTCAAAAGCTTTTAAGTCTAAGGAATTCCAACAGCTCTGGGCTTTCTCAAACAGAAACTTTGCTAAGAAGCCTTTGACACCACTCCTAGTTTCCCAATGAGTTGTGACATCAGATGAGTGCAAGTGCAGAGCTTGAGAAATCTCTTCTGACTTTGGGTCTCTTTTCATACCGTTGAAAGGTAGTTGATTGAGAATAGGAATCCTCGATAGTTGAGAGAATTCTTCCAAAGTGGGCACAAGCTGATAGTCGAGAAATGTGAAGCAATGGTGCAAAGGATAAAAGAACTGGAAGAGCACCTTCATCATATCCTCATCTGTGTTGGAGGTGACCAAGTTGAGTAAACGACCATGCCTCTCGGTGAATGGAGAGTTCTCAGGGATCCTTGAAGCTAGCTCCTTGAGTCGTGGAGGAATTCTTACAAGGTTGACTTGGATAGTTTTCTTGCGAAGTGAATCCATATCCTACAAAACAAGAACAAAGATGAATCTCCAAAATCCTTGAAATGGTTAGTGGATGCATATGATGCTCATGATGTCCATGATGTTATGTACAAGTATGCATATACAAGCAAAGCAAACAAGTTATTAGTTTAGGCTTGCATGGGGTTTTATAGGTAAGTACCCTCTTGAAGTTTAGTTGGCTTAAACATGTCCTAGTAATAGTAACCGGGTTCTAAGGAGCTTAATATCACTGGATTGTTTCCTTGGTCATTATTTCAGCTTAAGCCTCTTTAATGGCGACCTAAATATCCCAAGAAACCAAACCTCAATGAGTGTAGTATCGAGTATCTACCAACTTCAGACTGCACCAAAGTCGGTCATCTCACTACATCCTAAAGGCCAAGTTGGTCAAGTAAAAGGTTCTAGAAGTTCATTAGTGCTTCATGACATCACTCAGCAGCCCCGTATTCTCTTTGATTGACTCAAAGGCTACCGGTACCCATAAATATGTCTCACTAACATAGCTATTGCTTAGACCATGTCGGTATACCCCGCACAGTTTCCACAACGTTACTATTTACCTATAATATTTCCCAAATCCGGGTGGACGATTCAAACTCAAACAAAGAACCATAATGTAAAGCAAACAAGTCAAACAAATGTAAGCAAATAAATGTGATCTAGCCCTAAGGTAACCCCACTTTTATAATTTTCCCCAACAGAGTCTCCAGTTCTGTGATACGGTGGGAGAACTGACTTGAGGGTTTTGCGTTTTATCGCAAATGTTGCGGTTTAGCAAGAGTCACCATCGACTTTTCTTTTATCCAAAAGAAAAGGTGAAAAAGCACAGGAAAGACCTTTGAGATTGTTTCTTGAGTTCGGGGGGTAGATTATGAAAAGGGAAGGTGTTAACATCCTTTTCATCCATGGTTTTCCATGGGCTCTTAGTTACTTGCTAGATCACTTGCTTTTGTTGTTTAAAAATGTGTTTGGTGTGGTTTTGAAAGTATTTTGTAAAAGAGGTCATTGTTTAGGCAACCTTTGTAATAATTCTTGCTCGTAAGAATGTATACAAAGATGTTTGTCTTTTTGAAAATGTTTTCAATATTTGGAAATGTGTGTGTTTATTTTTGAAAATAGCAAGGATAGTTGTTTGAAAATAGAGCAAGTAACTAGAAGTAATATACCTACTCAAATGTCTTTCTTGTTCATTTTCTATTCCTTTGACATTGTTGTCATACCATTGATTTGGTAAGCAACCCTATCTTTGGATGTAAACGGAACGGGCGTGGGTCATCGTATAACCATGATTAGCAATATTGCAAAGTATCTTAGCATTTTGAGGGACCAAGATCATTTTTGTAAGGAAACTTAGAATAGCGTCATCGTGGGACTATGATCTTATACTTGTTTGTTTTGCCAAGATACTTCGCATGCGTAATATGGCTATTTTTGTATAAGGCAACCAAGTGGAGAAACCCTAAGGATGCTTGTGTGCAAGTGTGTTATTTTCATGCCTTGATTTTATCTTGTATTAGGGTTTTCTATTTGTTTTGTTTTGCTCTTGCCATACAAACCCTAATTACTAGCATGGTATATAAAGCGGTAAATTGCAAAATTTAAATGTCCTACGCTATTACAATATTTTTTATGGGAGGGGGGAATACAAATTGTGAATGGGTATTTGCAATAATATAAATCTAATTAAACTATTACAACCAAATCGAATTTGTACAAATATTGGAATAAACAAATACAATATTTAAATATGCAATATTATGCATATGCAAGTAAAGATTTTATTTTATTTTTTATGTGAAAAGGAATTTTAACCTAATCCTAAAAATATATATAAAAAAGGAAATTATATCTTTAAAAAAAGGGTTAACCCTAATTTCTAGTTTGAAAGAAAATAAAGTTCTTATGTATTATTTTTATGTATTTTTTTGTATTAAAAATAATGAATAATATTTTATGAAAATATTTAGTTTTTGTATATGCCAAAATAAATATTTATAAGCATGGAATGAAAAGGAAATAAAACAAATTAAACTAAACCTATTTTATTTATGTTTACAAGTTTATTTAAGAAACATAATTAATATATATATATATATATATATATATATATATATATATATATATATATATATATATATATATATATATATATATATATATATATATATATATATATATATATATATATATATATATATATATATATATATATATATATATATATATATATATATATATATATATATATATATATATATATATATATATATATATATATATATATATATATATATATATATATATATATATATATATATATATATATATATATATATATATATATATATATATATATATATATATATATATATATATATATATATATATATATATATATATATAGTTTAATAAAAAAAAATTTTATGTAAAAATAAAATAACATAAACAAAATACAATATTTATCAAGTTTTATATTTTTCATGATTTGATGTATTAAAGAAAATATTTAGTAAAACAAAAAAAGAAAATAAAACAAATAAACAAAATAGTTGGGCCAGGGGTGCTGTAAGGAGACAGGGAGTAGTATGTTAGCAAAAACACTAACGCCCAAAGAAACAAGCCCATCCTGCAAAACAGCAAAAAATGGAAATGAAAAAATATGAAAAAAAACAAAAGGTAGCGCCAAGGTTCGAACCCATGACCTGGGCCTCACCAGCGCGCTACCTTGCCACTGGGGTGGTGTTGTACCCCAAAATTTGCCCTCCCATATTCATCAAGAAATTGCCAAATCAAGGTCACAAAATGCCCCAAGGGTTGTGCAGCTCAACTGTCTCCTACACAGCCAAAACTAGGGTTTGAGTTCTGGTCAAGCAAATGAACTTTTCAATGGCCCAATCAAATCTCATATGCCTACAAATGTGGTCAAGCATCCTCATGTCAAGTTTCAAGGCATTCAGCTCAAGATTGCACAGTCAAAACCCTAAATTGCACTACAGTCAACTGTAGGGGCAAAATGGTCATTTGACAGTCAAAAGTTCAGATTTTTGGTCAACACATCATTTTGAAGCCACAAACATCATTTGATCAATGCTTGATCATGATTCTCAAAATTTGGCTCAGAAAATCATCAAGATGCAAAAGTTACTATATTTGGACAGCTGAAAAAGTCAACTGAAATTGACCAGGGCATAACTTTCACATGGATTATCAGAAAAATTCCATCCAAAGCTCATTTTGAAGAGAAAGACATTTCCTACAATTCATCTTCATGTTCCAAGTCCAAGAAATGCTCTCACAAAAAGTTATCAATTTCAACATTATAGGTCATTTTCAAAAGTCAACAAAAAGTGACTTTAAGTCAAAGGCCATAACTTGAGATTGGTAAATCAAAATGACATGGGACCAAAGGCATTGGTTAAAGGACTCAAAGACCTTTCCAAAATGTCCAAGAACATGTGAAAAGCTTAAAAATTGGCCAAGTTATGCCTTGTGGAAGTTGGGAAATTTTTGGAAATTTTTGAAAGTCAACATTGATGCAAAAGGCCTAAAAATGCAAATGGGCCTATTTTTCTTCCAAGATTCTTCATGCCAAGCCTATGCACGACCACTAGGCCCAAAGGGAAGTATTTTCATATTTTTTAATTATTTATTTGAATTAATATTAATTTATATTCATTTAAATCATTTTAATACATGAAAAATATCAAACTTAACCTAAAAAAATCTTTTCATGCATGATTATTCTTAATATTTCGTGCATATCCCAATTAGGCAAATTTGGATGAGATTGGATCATGATTGAACAAAAACAACATGAAAAAAGATATGAAAAAGATTTTCCAAAATCAAATATGTGAAATCATCAATGCTTGAGATTTTGTGTAGTTTTGTTAACCTAAATCACTCTATACA